GAAGACTAGGATTTTTTAAGGGAAAAAAGGAGAAGTTATAATGTGGAATAAATATTGGGCTCCCTAAATACTAGAAGGGAAGCTCAGACTCTGAAAAATATGACAATCTGATGCAGGGCTTCCTCATCTGAACAACTTTTGTCCCCAAACAGAGAGGGAGAAATCATGTCTCCAGAAGATGTTGGGCATAAAATGAAAAAAGGATATCTTTGATCAAAGAAAACTCTCAGGGGCCTTCTGCACAGCTATATAATCTGGAATATCAAGGCAGATAATCCACAATGTCTGCTTTGAAATGGGTTCTCTCAGTCCAAACTGCCATATAATCCAGTTCAATGTGCATTTTGTACAGCTGTGTGGAAGGGTTCTCAGATGTCAGTGACATCTAGTGGTTTCAAAGGCATATTAAAAACCCATTCTTAATAATTCAGTACCTTGGATTAGCGACAAAAACTCAGAGCAGATTTGCCATCTCATTGAACAAATTTGTTGTGTGACTCACATGTAAGGCACCAATAAACATTGTTATCTAAAGGTGCATCTATTTATTTATTTATCGTGTCATCAGCAACCATACTGGTGCATCTATAATGTCGAGTTAATGCAGTTTGACATCACTTTCACTGCCCTGGCTCAATGCTATGGAATCCTGGGATTCATAGTGTGATGAGCCACCAGCACTCTTTGGCAGAGAAGTCTAAAGGCCTTGTAAAAATTCCAACTCTCATGATTCCATAGCATTGAGGCATGATTGTTAAAGTGGTGTCAAACTGCTTTAATTCTGTAGTGTAGATACACCCTGAGACATCTTTGCAGACTGCAATTTGTGTTGTCTGCATTCTGTATTTATTTTGTTGTATTGTACCTTTGGGCTTGGCCTCATGTGAGCTGCCCGGAGTCCCCTTTGGGGAGATGGTGGCGGGGTATAAATAAAGATGATTATTTATGATGATGATGATGATGATGATGATGATGATGATGATGATGATTATTATTATTATTATTATTAGCCGCCCCCTGCCACACGTTGCTGTGGCCAAGTCTGGTGATCTGGAAAATAAAGTAATGCGAAAGTGTTGGTTTCTAATATATGTAATTTCTTTCTGCTTGTGGATAAACAGTATTTCTTGTTGTTTCTTTCTCAGTGTTGATGTGGAGATTGTTTAGTTTGCCTACTCTGGAACGTGTAATATATAATTGCCCTTCTTTAAGGGTCCCTTTCAAATCTATGATACTATATCTGTGTGTTGAATCTATATCTATTTATGGCTGGATGGCTCTTTGTTGGGAGGGCTTTGATTACGTTTTCTTGCCCCAGTAAAGGGAGTTGGACTGGATGGCCTTAAGTATTTTCTGTTGGTCAAGGGGGTTCCGTGTAGGAAGTTTGCCCCAATTCTGTCGTTCATGGGGTCCAGAATGCTTTTTGATTGTAGGTGAACGATAAATCCCAGGAACTACAACTCCCAAATTTCAAGGGCTATTTCCCCCAAACTCCATCTGTGTTCATATTTGGGCATATGGAATATTCATGCCAAGTTTGGTCCACATCCATCATTGTTTGAGTCCACAGTGCTCTCTGGATGGAGGTGAACTACAACTCCCAGACTCAAGGTCAATGCCCACCAAACACTTCTAGTGTTTTCTTTTGGTCATGGGAGTCCTGTGTGCCACATTTGGTTCAATTTCATCATTGGTGGGGTTCAGAATGCTCTCTGATTGGAGGTTAACTATAAATCCCAACAACACTCCTTGGGTTAGTAGGTGTTTTGTGGCCAAATTTGGTGTCAATTTGTCCAGTGCTTTTTGAGTTATGTTAATTCCACAAACGAACATTACCTTTTTATTTATATAGATTATTATTATTAATAATGCTGTAACCCACATTCCCTCACCAGATGCTTGAGAAAATTATGACAAAAAAAAGAGTCCACCCCAAAATAAGGTTATAGTTTCTAAATATCAAAGAGATGAGTGAGGTACACAAACAAATGTACACAAATGGGGAATGAGAAATTTATTGGACCTTGTGTGACTTTCAGTTTAGTCCCTGTCTTATAACAATTTAGTCCCTGTCTCATAAGAACAAGTGGAATGTTAGAATGCACATTAAAAATAGTATTTTCTCCCACCCCACCCTTCGCCCTGTTAAAAAACCCATCATAAAAGCAGTCGTTGCATGTTGCTCACTGTAACTTTTTGTGACAAGTCCACTTGATCTTTTCCTAGTAAAGTCCATGTCATGAAGACTTCCTATGGCTTTGTCTCTTGGTATTGCATTGCATTGGAAGGTGAACATCATCTGTCACTGAGCAGTGTTATAACTCTATTTTATTCCTTGTGGTCTCATTTCCCTTCAAGATCCTCGATAAGGTAGGGGTTTGTGGCCTTCAGTGCCTCATACAGCTTATCCTTGCAGGAGCGGTTCCAGCTTGGCATGATCCTGTATAGCTCTCTCATTTTCATTGGGTTAGTTTCCTTCGCGCAGATGTTTTGGTATTGCTCGTCGGTTAGGACTGTACCATACAAACGATCCAGCACTTGCTCAACGGAGGCAGCCCTCTGGATGAGCTCTTCCCTGTAGCGGTCAATAAAATGATCCCCTGCCAAGAAAGAGCGAGAGTTTAGAGATTCGTGCTGCACTCTTAGATAGCTTTCTCACTCATTTTCTCTTCCACCCCATTCCTTGAAAAGCATGGTTTCATGAAGAATGGCAGGAGCCCC